AATGAGTGTGTATGGGTGTTTCCCAGTTGTGGCTGGAGGGGCATCGGCTGTGTTAAACATATTCTGGATAAGTTGGTGGTTCATTCCACTGTGGCGACCCCTGATAAATAAAGGGACTTACCTGAAGGAAAACTAATAAATGAGTTTTCCTATTTAAAGCTCTAGTCTTCTGTAGTTACGTCATGTAATAAGGCCTACAGAAAATGAAATGTTAATATTGTCCAGACCAATATTTAAAGCACCTATACTCCAATTCTCTTATATTAATCAAGAAACTCTCTCAAGATATTATGCAGCAAATAAAAATCAGAGGATGCCTTAAAACCATGGAGACACGAGAGGCGCATTGCTGAAGACAGATTTGATGTGCTCAACCAACAATCCAACCTTTTTCATTCAGAGATCTCAAGTTAATAATAGTTCCTAGAAGCAGTTGGTGGTTCATTCCGCTGTGGCAGCCCCTGATAAATAAGCGACGAAGTCGAAAGGAAAATAAGTCAGTGAATGAGAATCTAATGTTACAGATCAAAACCTTTCTGTTTTTCTGTCTGCAGATAGTGGACGATTAAATGGAAAACTGCCCAGTCTGAGCACGCAGCACCCAAAGCCCAAACACAGCAGCGGACACAGCTCAACATTAAGCCTGAGTTTGGCCTCAGTGAAATGCTGGAGAGGAAGCTGAGAATGACCCGCTAGTATGTTACATAATCAGTCTGCTCTGTGCTATGATTTAGAGCTCTTGTGTCTTGGAAGCAGAGGTTTTAAACTTTGACTAATAATAAAATTAGTTTTACATTGCTTGAACACTTCATTTAATAAATTGTGATCATAAACATCACGGTGCAGGACAGATAGCATCCAAAACTGAGCTAAATCTGCAGATGGTTCGTTGGATTTTCTAGTTTTTTTAAGGTAAGTGGTTGCAAACATTCATTCATAGATTCATTTTCTTATCGGCTTAGTCCCTTTATTTATCAGGGGTCGCCACTGTGGAATGAACCGCCAACTTATCCAGCATTTGTTTTACACAGCGAATGCAATTTCACCTGCAGCTTATCTCTGGCAAACATCCACACACACACACACTCATACACTACGGACAATTTAGCCTACCCAATTCACCTGTACTGCATGTCTTTGGACTGTGGGGGACATTGGAGCACCCGGAGGAAACCCACGCGAATGCAGGGAGAACATGCAAACTCCATACAGAAACGCCAACTGACCTAGCCGAGGTTCGAACCAGCGGCCTTCTTGCTTTGAGGCGACAGCACTACCTACTGTGCCACTGCATCGCCTGCAAACTGTTTATATAGGCTGAATTTAAACTAATAAAGTTGAACATTACATTTACATTTAGCCATTTAGCAGACGCTTTTATCCAAATCAACTTACAAATGAGGACAAGGAAGCAATTTACACAACTATAAGAGCAACAATGAAGAAGTGCTGTAGGCGAGTTTCAGGTGTGTAAAGTGTAAGAAGCAAAACATTAGTAATTTACGTTTTTTTTCTTTCTGTAGTACAGTTAGCGGTGGAGTCAGAGAGGCAATTGCAGATTAGGAAGTGAAGTGGAGACTAAATAGTTGAGTTTTTAGTCGTTTCTTGAAGACAGCGAGTGACTCTGCCGTTCTGATGCAGTTAGGGAGTTCATTCCACCAACTGGGCAGATTGAATGCGAGAGTTCGGGAAAGTGATTTCTTCCCTCTTTGGGATGGAACCACGAGGCGACGTTCATTCACAGAACGCAAGTTTCTGGAGGGCACATAGATCTGCAGAAGTGAGAGCAGATTAGGAGCAAAGCCAGAGGTCGCTTTGTAGGCAAACATCAGAGCTTTGAATTTGATGCGAGCAGCAACTGGCAGCCAGTGCAAACGGATGAGCAGCGGAGTGACATGTGCTCTTTTAGGTTCAGGAAAGACCACTCGTGCTGCTGCGTTCTGAAGCAGCTGAAGAGGTTTGATAGAGTTAGCTGGAAGCCCGGCTAGTACACAGTTGCAGTAATCCAATCTGGAGAGAACAAGAGCTTGAACAAGGAGTTGAGCTGCATGTTCAGATAGGAAGGGTCGGACCTTTCGGATGTTATAGAGTGTGAATCTGCACGATCGAGCAGTTCTAGAGATGTGGTCAGAGAAGTTTAGTTGGTCATCAATCGTTACTCCAAGGCTTTTCACTGTTTTGGATGCAGTAATGGTTGCCCTGTCCATCTGGATTGAAAAGTTATGATGTAGAGTCGGGTTGGCAGAAACTTCAAGTATTTCTGATTTCGCGAGGTTCAGCTGAAGATGATGATCTTTCATCCAGTGTGAAATGTCTGACAGGCAGGCTGAGATGCGAGCCGGAACCGAGGGATCATCAGGGCGAAAAGAGAGGTATAGCTGGGTATCATCAGCACAGCAGTGGTAGGAGAATCCATGTTTCTGGATGGATGAATTCATTTTTTTGGATTACTAAATTACTTTGTTTAAACTCAGCCCATATCAACTGTTTCCAAACGCTTACCTTAAAAAAATGCAGTAAATCCAATGATAGGACAGCGAGTGAGTGAGTCATTCTAGGTCAGGGGTGGGCAAAGTCGGTCCTGGAGGGCCGGTGTCCTGCATAGTTTAACTCCAACTCTAATCATACACACCTGAACATGCCAATCAGCCTTTAAGATCACTAGAAATCTATAGACTGCAAAATTACCCATGATGCTTTGCGTGTATGCGCAAGGAGAATGCGAAGGACTTCCGGTCGGCAGCTGATGCGTGTAAACAGTCACATTTGGACAGCTTTGAAACGATAGTTTTAATCTATTTTACCTGCTTTTATCCTCTTTGAACTAATCCTGTTGTCCATCAGCAGCATCTCCTGGACTGATCATTTACAGAAATGTGATCTAATAGGATGGAAAACAGCTGCTGTGAGGCGTTTTCCCCTCGTTGTCAGACGGCATCTTCTGCAGTTTAAACATCGCTAAAGTCAACATTTTCTCTTTATTTTACATATATAACCAGCCCAAACACATGTAGTTCAGCAAAATGTTTGACACACACACGTAGCCTGTACTGTGCCACTGACACACTGATTTAATAACTGTGACAAAGTGAAAATATAGGCTAGTGTCATTTCAAAATGACAGAAAAAACACACACCGTGGTGAAAACAACACACGAAATAAAACACAAACGGCTCGCGATTAGAATGAACAGCAAATCAGCAGCAGAGGATCAATAACAGACTTTTATTGCTCATTTTTGTAAATTGCACGACTTTCATACCTGTTAAGTTTCATGACAGTACTTTGGTTTGCTCTCTCTCTCTCTCTCTCTCTCTCTCTGTGTGTGTGTGTGTGTGTGTGTTAAAGAGCCGCTGAGCTAACAGCTGACAGGCCGGGAACGCACACACACACACACTGTATTTCTGACGGCAGACACGTGAACTAGGAGAACGTTTTTCTCGTATTTCTGACGCGCTTGAACCACATGTGACAGATTATAACGGCTTTAACAGACACATTTCTAAGTTGTGTGTCACAAAAACACTCTGTTATCCATTAAAAACGTCATTGAAACCCATTTTACGGAGCGCAAATTACCAGTTGTACACGCTGTGAACGGAAGTTTTTAGCATTCTACTGGAAGACGCTGGTCGCTATGGCGCCCTCCATGCAGCAGCCATGAAAAAGGTCTATAAGCAGGTGTGTTTGATTAGAGTTGGAGCTAAACTGTGCAGGACACCGGCCCTCCGGGACCGAGTTTGCCCACCCCTGTTCTAGGCTGTAAGAGTAGCACACACAACCACAGCTGTAGGTCTTCTTCCAAGCAGCCACGCAAATCACAGTGTGCTATTGTCGTTTTATCACGTTTGTCTTGACGTGTGTGTGAAGGTCAGAAGGGTTTGTCGTCAGTGCGATGGCTTCGGCAAACACTGCAGGTCATTGACGTGTCCAGTCTGTTGTGTGTGTTTGACTTTACTGCGCCTCTATTCTCCAGCGGAGCTCAGCTTGTCGTTCTGTCGTGTTTGCTGACGTGATAGAATGCTGTAGAGCAGGGCTGCCTAAACTCTTTCTTATGAAGGGCCAAAAACCAGGGTGGCTCACAGCAAGAAGGTTGCTGGTTCGCGTCCCGGCTTGGTCAGTTGGCATTTCTATGTGGAGTTTGCATGTTCTCCTTGTGTTGGCGTCAGTTACCCCCACAGTCCACAGGCATGCGCTATAGGGGAATTGATTAACCAAATTGGCTGTAGTGGATACATATAGCGCACACACATACAGTTTTTGGGTCACACCTGGTCTGTGCTGCAAACAAGAGGTTGAGAGTGTGTCAGTGAGGAACAAGTGTATCCTCTGCTGGAAGCCTGCGCTGGAAATCCCACAGCATATAAACACACTGATGGAAAAACAAGAGCGCTGGGTGTGTGTGTGTGTGTGTGTGTGGTGAGACGGGAGGTTACCTGGAACTGAGACAGATGTTGGGTGTGAGGATTGACCTGACTGGACATTGCAGCTGTGTGTGTATGTGTGTGTGTGTGTGTGTGTGTGTGTGTGTGTGTATGTCTGTTTTAGTCTATATATGTGTGTGTATGTGTGTCTGTCTCTGTATGTGCATGTTTGTGTGTGTGTGTGTGTGTCTGTGTGTGATTGTATGGCTGTATGTTTGTGTGTCTATGTGTTGCCGCTGTGTGTCTGTGTGTGTTTGAGTCTATATGTGTGTACATGTTTGTCTTTGTTTATGTGTGTGTGTGTGTTTGTCTGTCTCTGTATGTGCATGCTTGTGTGTGTGTGTGTGTGTGTGTGTGTGTGTCTGTGTGTGATTGTATGGCTGTATGTTTGTGTGTCTTTGTGTTGCCGCTGTGTGTCTGTGTGTGTTTGAGTCTATATGTGTGTACATGTTTGTCTGTGTTTATGTGTGTGTGTTTGTGTGTGTGTGTCTGTCTCTGTATGTGCATGCTTGTGTGTGTGTGTGTGTGTGTGTGTGTGTGTCTGTGTGTGATTGTATGGCTGTATGTTTGTGTGTCTTTGTGTTGCCGCTGTGTGTCTGTGTGTGTTTGAGTCTATATGTGTGTACATGTTTGTCTGTGTTTATGTGTGTGTGTTTGTGTGTGTGTGTCTGTCTCTGTATGTGCATGCTTGTGTGTGTGTGTGTCTGTGTGTGATTGTATGGCTGTATGTTTGTGTGTCTTTGTGTTGCCGCTGTGTGTCTGTGTGTGTTTGAGTCTATATGTGTGTACATGTTTGTCTTTGTTTATGTGTGTGTGTGTGTGTGTGTGTGTTGTCTCTGTATGTGCATGCGTGTGTGTGTGTGTCTGTGTGTGATTGTATGGCTGTATGTTTGTGTGTCTATGTGTTGCCGCTGTGTGTCTGTGTGTGTTTGAGTCTATATGTGTGTACATGTTTGTCTGTGTTTATGTGTGTGTGTGTGTGTGTGTGTGTGTCTGTCCCTGTATGTGCATGCTTGTGTGTCTGTGTGTGATTGTATGGCTGTATGTTTGTGTGTCTATGTGTTGCCACTGTGTGTCTGTGTGTGTTTGAGTCTATTTGTGTGCCTATATGTTTGTCTGTGTTTATGTGTGTGTGTGTGTGTATGTGTGTGTTTCCAGTTCTTAGGAGCAGCACCCGGTGTGGTCTTCTGCTGCTGTAGGTTGGACGTGTTGTGTGTTTAGAGATGCTCTTCTACAGTCGGCATTTGCGCCCACAGAACTGCCGCTCACTGGATATTTCTTCTTTGTCGGAGCATTCTCTGTAAACCCTAGAGATGGTCATGCGTGAAAATCCCAGTAGATCAGCAGTTTCTGAAATACTCAGAGCAGCTCGTCTGGCA